TGCGCCGCATGCTCCGGGCCCGGTTCCTACCCCTTCATGTGACTTCCGGGTATCCCCGGAAGTTTTGCTGATATTGGGGCCACTGTGGGAAGATGAGAAGTTAGCTTCCTTCTCATCTTCTTACCCACAGTAGGATTGTGCCCTGGATAGGGCTGGCCAGACCTGAGGCTGTGGGCCATAGGGGAGGGTCATGGGGACCTGGGAGTCGTCCCCTGACACGTTCAGACTTCAGTCAGTTGTGCACCCACTGAAGTTTCTCATTGTGTTCGGAAACTGTATTGGTTCCCGTAAATATGTCATCAAACCATGTGTGAACAGCCCACCTGATATTATCTCAGAGGACCCACGACACGATCTGCTGGAATGTGGAGGGACCATTACAGTCCCCTTGTTGGAGTACATTTGAAACGTACGTGCCCCAAGGAGTGGCAAATGCAGTGCGTGGAACGCACTCAGGTTCCATGCGAATTTGCTCATAAGCATCTGTCATATCGATCAAAGATCGATATGAATTCCTGGCCAAGCTATCCATAATGGATCGCATGTCAGGCATTGGTGTGATGTCGAGAATCATATTTGCATTACGATTCCCTGCATCAATAACGGTTCTTATTGAACCATCCTTTTTTGCAAGACATAGTAACAGGCACACCATAACGGCTGGTTGGCAAACCCACCAGCCTGCGTGCTCATATCGAAGAGTTTTCTCTCGTAGCTGTTGCTCAAGAGATTGGGGGCACGTTGCATGCCTCTCATGATACCTTTTATTGGGATCGATAAAGTTGATCCTGTGATTAACCTCCCGGAAGGGAGGTAAGATCTCAGGCACAGGTGCCATGACATCCTCAAATTGCGACCTCCACCAGTTGCAGAGGGCGCTAAAACCATCATCCATCATTGGGCGATTTTCGAGATGAGAACATTCTGGTAACTTCCCAGACTGGGGATCAGGCCAGTGAGCTGGGTAACTTAATGCATCTGTTGTGGACGCATTGGACGTGGCCTTCATAGCAGATATGCTATGAGGACCCTGCTCCTCCCTAGAGGAGTGATTGGGCGGCGAAGTCTCCTTCACCTTATTGAGTCACACCTTGGGTGTGTCGGTTGAAGCAGACACACGGCAGCTTGTGGGTGGAGGCCTCTTAGAGAGGCTAGTGAAATCTCGACGGGCCTGGTGGCCAGTCGACACAAAGGAACATTCCATAGGAACGTCAAAAGTGGAGATAAGACCGCCCTTCACATGGATGGTGTGCTTGCCGAAGTCCAGCAAAGCTTTGTAGGTGTTCAACCATGGAGCACCTAGAATAGCATCGTAACATTCGATGTTCACAACATCGAAGTAGTGTTTGTTTTTCTGACCAAGTATGGTCAGATCAGCATTGGTCCCATAGTAAATACAGGACCTACTCCCCTTGTTGCCCATTTGGAGCACAAGGGGATTGGGAAGTTCAAGGAGTGGGATGTGACACGCTCTGACAAAGTCAGGGGATAACGCGTCGGTCTCTGCCCCACTATCGAACAATGTGAATGCTTTGGTCCCATTGATCTCAACGAGACCAGTCAGGGTGCAACGGAAGTCAGCACTCCGATTGGTAGGGTATTTACCTGCCTCACGCGAAAGTCTGAACTTTGCGTTGAACATAGGCGGGTTTTTCTTTGTTATTTTTGCCGGGACTATATCAGTCTCCGGCTTTGGGAGAGGCAACTTCCCCTCAGTCTTAAATCGACGAACTGGTTCATCTACCAGCTCAGTGACGATTTGCTCTTCAGAGAGGAGCGAGTCAGCTCTTTGAGCCGACGCTAACTTAAGGGCATAGTTGTCCTCAGATGGGTCAATAATACCCATCCCCTGTAAACTTAAGCACCCGAAGACGACCTCGTCTTCAGGTTCACTGACCATCTCATCAGGCGGGCCAGCCGGTTCGTATGGGTCCTCAACGAATCAATCATTGGGATCGCCATCTTCAGCGGTAACTTCTTCTTCTGGGGCCTCCCCAGACGGATCATCTTCGTCTCCCTGACCCTCTGGCTCGTGGGGAGGGTCTTGGTCCTCTTCTATGCCCAGAGCATATAATTTGGCTCTGGGTGGATGGTTTGGACACTCAAAAGAGTATCCGATTTTGTGTCATGGCTGTGCATTCTGGCCCATTAGCCACCCGTTCCGATGCTGCCCGAGCCCATTCCCACTACACAAGCATGAGCGCGAGCCCCGACCTCAGCCCTATTCTCCCTGAGGACTCCCTGCTCACTCCCCTGCTTGCCCTAGGCTCCCCTGCATCTGGCCGACTCCCCCACAGCCACACCAACCTTCCTGCCCCGAGTCTGCCTCCGGCACCATGCCCAGCGCAACTCCTCTACCCCACCCCCTTGGCCCCTACAGGGCTGCTACCATTCCCATGCCCAACTCCGAGTCCAGCGCCGCTACAATACCATCGCCGCTATCGCGGCCCTACGCTCCTTCCTTTATTTATCTGTTATTGTTTGTTTTGACCCTCGGTCATTGCCGGCCGCTGTGCAGCCAACCCCGCTCCTTGTTCCCTTTTGCTTCCGGACCCTTCGGCCTTTGGCCCGGGTCCGCTTCAATTCATTCTGCCTTCATATATATCTCCTGTATACTACATTATAGTACTTTAGCTCTAATATCAATTTGACTGTGACCCCCAAGTCCAGACCCCAGCAAGGCAACCCCAGTAAGTCTGAAATGAGGGCCAAGAGACAGCTAGGGGGCACAGCACTCCTTTAGAGTCGCTGAGCCAAATGCCCTACCCTCGGGCCTTGTTCACGGCATCACGGCCATTGTGGCCTATAGTGGCCTGCAACAGCGACCCTCGGTGCCGACCCTGGACCAGTGTCTAACATCTTGCCACATTTGTAGCAGAGGGGGTTGCCCTTCGAAGGATTTGAAGGGCATCATTGGGTGTTATAAGAATTACCGGTATTCGAAGAATACCGGTTGTTTGACGAAGAAGGGGCCTGGAGAGTCCCTTTGGCATGTGAAGAAGGTGAGCCTGTAACAGGCTTCATCGTGGCTGCAGTGGGCTTCTTATTACTAGAGTAAGAAGAGAAATTTGGATAGCCCCTCGTTGGGGCTATCCTAGGAGCAACTCCTGATGATCCCCTTGTGGACAGGGTTGAGTTGTTGGATACACTCGACTTGCTAGTCAGGTGTGTATTGGTTGATTTGGAGGGGGCAAGCCCTCTTTTATACACGTTTATTGCACGCATTGAGTCCATCGCGTTGTCAACACAAAGAACAGCCATCCACAGTTCATCTTTGGACATGAAGTCGACCGAAATTCGGTTGCATAGTACGAGCTCTTCCCTTATATGATAGGGGAGAGCATTTCCAAAACATTCGTTGAAACTCGCCTGGTCAGGGCAAGTGATCATCTTCTCCGATGCTCGGAGAAGCTGAGTATAAAAATGCTTAATCCCCTTTGCGGGGTCATAAGTGAGCGTTTTGAAGAGTTTGGTGGCAGGTACTGCTGCTGACCTCTTCACATATGTGAGCATCAGCTTTGTTAAAAGCTGAGTGAAGGTGGGGATGGTCCCACTCTCGAATCCTAGCTTCATTTCATGAAGCACGATCTGTTTAGGATCGCCATCTAGGGTGCAAGCAAGAGCGTCTATGTGGAGCTCGTTGTAGCTCTCGCCCTTCCACCCATTTCCTGAAATCCAGGAAGTGAGTTCGACGAGCCAACTCTTGAATTTTTCGAGATTGTTCTCCCCAGACCATAGGGTCGTGGGGAATGGAACAGAGTTTTTCTTTAATAACTCTGTTTTTACATCAGCAGGAAGAGGGGTCAGGATCCTTATCCTGATCAGGTTCGCGATTCGGTGAACCAGCTCCTCCATGAATCCCTCAGGGTCGCTGGGGGACAAACTACTCAGGTCCCTCGAATAAGACCTGAGAGTGGATTCAACGAATCCGTCATGGGGGATAGTCGAGCTCACCATCCAAGGGTGGACAGAGCTCGCAACACATGGAACTTGGGAGCTAGGCTCCCTTTCCCTCTTTACTGGGGAAACCACTATGGGATCTGAAGCCCCTCCAAGAGGGTCTTGGAGGGTACAGATGGTTGGCTGTGGGGTCGAGACTTCTTGTCTCGACGCTGCAAGAGGGCTAGCAGCTCTCTATGCCAACTAAGCTCGTGGGGCCAAACTCTCCAAAACTCCTACTTTCTCTCTAGACTTGCTATGCTCTCGATCCTTAACTCCATGGTGAGTTCTCCGGGATTTCCGCAAGGTCCGGGCTCAACAAATCCACTACCCACTCGTTGCAGGCTAGATTGTTGCCCTTATTCCTACTGTTGGAATTCCACACACTCACACCCACTCTAGCGCATCCTAGCACCTTAGAGAATTTTTGGGGGAGGGGAGAACTTCTCTTCCAGAATCCGGTATGTACAGGATATAAGGAACAATTATTTTTAGAATAATTGATGGGAAATATTGGTACCATATGGCACCTGCATATCTTATTAGGCGAAATAATAAAAAAGGGTAATAGTATCAATAAAAGAATTTTGATCAATAACTGAAATGATGCAAAAATATGAAAATATAAGAAAATAAGCGATATCTCAACGGATTTACGAAATTAAGAACCGAAATTGGGAATGCAGCCAGAGATAACTCTCACACAGCCGATAAACATTTTTGCCAATTTATTAGACCCTGTGGGAACGAGTGAGGCTGGAATTCTGGGTTGCCGCTTGAGATTCCCACGCCCGCACATGCCCGTGCCTAACTTGCCCAACATAGAACTCCGTCAATTCTCCACCGATTAGGACGTTCTTGATATCGTCGGAATCGTACGAATTAGCACTATTTCTATATGTCAAATCCGTATCGAGTTGTCGCATGAATGGAAGGGGTTTTCTGAATGGTGGAAGCAGGTATCCGAGCCGGCTCTGTGCGTGGGCGATTATCCTGCCTACAATGCCCTGAGAGGAATTTGTTGGGCATCTGCCCGACTGGGCCAATCTTGGCCTAATCTTTCAAGGGCCCCACTTTGTGGGTCCTGCACGGTAAATTGACTGTAGGAACCTAGCCTACGTCTGATCTCCCAGGCATGATTGTCCAGACCTTCAGGTCTGTGCATGTAGACGGCATCGCCGTCCATCTGTGTCCCATACTCCACAGACATCTCACTAGGTGCATGGGGAGCAAAGATGGTTCTTTGCTTTTTCTTTATTTCGCCCTGTGTGTTCATGACGAGGGCAGGCCCGGAACCGTGATGTAGGTTCCGGGTCAATGACGGATCGCGATCAGTCTCCCCTTTGTCTGTCGAACTTTCCAAAATGACGGGCGCTTCAGGTGCAGGAATCGACTGAGGAAGTGGCTGTGTCCTTCTGAGGACAACAGGCAGGCCCTGAGGGCCCCAATCGACACTCTTTTGTCAGGGCACACCCGCCTGACCCGCCTCCACCCGGGCCCACCTCACCCGGTTCCCCCTCTTCCACCCTGCACCCCTCCTTCATACCCCTTCCCCCTCTATCCCTCTCCCACTTCCACTCCTATTTCCATTTCCATTTCTATTTCTATTTCTACTTCACATGGACGACCCTTCCCTTATATCCATGTATTATTGACCCGCCCGCGACGCACACACGACATGCCTAGCCCCGGACGACCCCGGACGGCTCTAGGGTGCAACCTAGTGCGCGCGCGTGCAGCATACACCCTCGGGATCCCCCACGGGGACACCCGGGTGACTGCGGCTGTATGCGGGGTGACGTGGTGGACCTCATGTGACCCAAGCCGCATGTATATAAACACACCTGGGGTGGGAACCGAAGAAGTAACCTTCTTCTCAACATTCCCACTTCAGGTAAGTAGCATAGTTCCCCTTTTAATAACAACTCAACATTCCCACTTCAGTCTAAGTGGCCAGGGATCGCCGTCCCACATCGGGGCTGCCAGTACGCACACCCGATCCACCCCCCGTGAGGTCCTCAGCACCGGACGCTATGCCCGGACCGCCTCAACCGCGGACGCGACCCTGACATCTTTCCCTTCAGATAAGAAGGGATTCTCTTTGGCAATGGGGTCGAAGAACTCCCAGGCGCGGGTTCAGCAGCATGAGGGACATATGTCGTCATCCTCACACTGGGATGCCCGGGCACAGGGAGGTAGGTGGTCGTCCTGACGTAGTCTTTGTCAGCGGAGACTTCATCCACCAGCGAGTTTCGTCGCTGGATGGGTTCTCTGTCCCGTCCCCTGACTGGTACAGGTGGAGGCACACTTGTTGCCTCAAACTGGGGTGAGTTTAGAGGGATTTGGCTTCCAGCCAATCCAGGGCTAGGGCGATAAATCCAAGCCTGTAAGTCCTCTATAGCCTCGTCATGGCAAGTCAGCCATTGATCAATGCTTCTTAGCATCATCATCAATTCATCATGCTGATCGTTCGACGATCCAGGAGTTTTTGCTCGTGGTTTGGTGCCACCCACGTCGACGACCTCAACTGAGTTGTCAGGGCCATCACCAAGCCCTAACGCTTCACCCAATCTGAGAGGATCAGGGGAACCAGGCACATCAGCGAACAGATCAGGTCCAACTGGTGCGTCGGGTGGGTCTTCCTCAAGGGGAAGAGGTGCGACCACGGCAGGTACAACCATGGTCATGGATTGGGAAGGGCCCGGCGCATCCAGGTCTCCTGGTGGACCTGGAGATGTGTTGGGGTCGTCTGTCTCTCCTGGATCGGGAGGGATATCAGGCGTGTTAATGCTGGGAACCCCAGCGCTATCCAAAGTCTGCATGTTGTTCATGCAGCTGCCCTCGTCCTCTTTGCAGAGGGCAAACCCGAAGCTTTCTTTACCATGATGGTAACAAAAAGTCAGGAACTTCAATTAGATCGGCATGCTTTGCAACGTCGATCGAAGAAGAAGTTGAAAGGTTTAAATTTGTTTGCTCACTGAGCGTAAAAAAGTGTAAGCGTTGTTTAGGTTGAGTTCGCGAGTGATCTCGCAATAGTCAGGTTTTGCCTTACACTCCCAGTCCGCTGAAGTACGCTGTATGAAGCTGTATTTATCAATGGGGGGGTAAAAGGCTGGGGAAGCCTTTACCCCCCTTGCATGTAGGTTAAATACAATATTGTATATACATGTGATAGTTGCAGCTTGGGACCGCATGGTAGAAATGAAGGGTTTGGGAATAGAAGTGTCGCATCGGGTACAAACCTGATGCGATAAATAAAGAATGAAGAATGAATAAGGTAGGCCGTGAGTACATGGCCTATATCCCTTACAGTCCTGCTTCAGCTTAGTTTATATACATGTGGGAACAGGTCACATGGAGGTGCCACGTTGTAAGCAGGCTAGGGATCTAACCCACTAGGAAAACAGGAAAGGACGGGGACTGGATTTGGTATCCAACAGGTCAGGGAAAAGGTGGGGAAAGGGAAATATGGTCCGGTGTGTTACGGTGCGTGGTGTACTCCAGTCAGTCTCTCACCCCACCTCTCTGGGTGACACTAAGGCGAGGACTGATCTAGAGGTCTTCTATATCGTACTACTCCCTACTAGCTTGGGAGGGGCAAACTCGGTGGTTTCTAATCCAAGGGGACAAGTAGATACATCCTCATGTACAGGTATATATGAGAAATGATCAAATAAAAATGATAAAAAATATCCGATGTGCCCCATGTGCTTAGGTGGATCATATCGGCAACAAACAATATCGGAAAAAAGAAGGGAAAACAATAATCAAGAAAACAATAAAGCAATAAATGATTTCCAGCCAAAAAATACCCAACTCCATCCATCGCCAATGAACTCCCGCTAATTATGGATCCTAATAATCCTAAATGACGCGTTTCCAACGGTACCAATATCGTCCAAATCGGTGCAGTGGTTGCTGAGATAAGTGAAATCCAGTCTGAGTGTGGCCGCACTGCTGGGTGGGCATGGGAATTTGGTCTGTGGGGACCGGAAATGTGTCTGGAAAAATAGGAAAAAATTGTGAAAGGGTAGAAATGGTATATGAGGATGTGTGCGACGTGTTTAGTGAAGTGGGGATGTGCTGGGATGGGGAGATTGCGATATTCGGTTTGTTTGTGCAGTACCAGCTGTGCCTGCCTACAACATCAGCCCCGGGTGGAGCCAGGTTATCATGGGTGGCTCTGTGGTCGATCCCAAGTGTCAGAGAAGGGAAATACAAGTAGGAATGCGTGGCGTGTCCAGCATCAGGGTGCCCATGTGGGGTGCTCAGCGTCGGATGTGTCCATGCTACAGGTGTAGAAGAAAAGGAGAGGTCGTTCCTATAAAGATAGAGAAGAAGGGAAGAAAGAGAGAAAGAAAGAAAGGGTGCAAGAGAGAAAAAGGAGAAGGAGAGGGCAGCAGTGCGGTGCAGTGCAGCGTGCCCTGACAGTGTGTTACCAGAAAAGTGTGTGGGTATGTGGATGATGTACATATGTGAAGGGCCCAGATGTCGTGATAGTGAGCCTGGGGAGCTGTGAACACAAAAGAAGTAAGCAGATTGAGTACAAGTGCATGTTTCTAGGTGTGTGTGGTGTAGGCAGGATAACCTACTATACCCTTCACTACCAGAATGCACTGCATGTTCCTTACAGGTTCCCCACATGTGAGGACCACCTGCCAATGCTCATGGAGCGTAAACACATTTTATTTCATTTTCTATGGAGTACAATTCCACATAAGGTGCTAGTACTGAATTGGTCCAGCCCAAAAACTACACTTGGCACTACTGGTCACTGAGAGACAAGCAAAAGTTCAAAAAATAGAGAAAAATAATAAACATGGATTCCCCAAGTTTCATCCAGATCGACTGAGCCATTGAGGAGCAATGGTGGTGACAATTTCTTATCTTACTGCAAGGTTGTCAGGGACGTGTCAGGGGTCAAGGCAGTCCAGGGGTAGCGCCCGGCACTGAGGTCCTCATGGGGGGTGGATTGGGCGTTGTAATGGGTCAATCGCCTTGACTTGAGACAGAGAAGAGGGGGAGGGTTGTAGTGTGCATGGGTGTGGTTCGTGGGGCCAGGTTTTGGTCCATGGGCACTACTGAGTCTGCAAAAACCTCAAACAAACACTCACCTACGTCTCTCTTGGATGTCAAGGCTGAGTATTATGATGAGAGGGGTCTTAGATGCTGGTAACAAGCTCAGGGGAGATGTTAGGGTCGTGGATGGCATCTTTGCCACTTGGATGTAACTTTTTCTTAGTCCTTCACGGGTCTATTCAGTACTAACTTGTTATGTACAAGCTATTATCTATTTTATATGAGTTGGAAATGGAATGAATGGAATGGGGGAATGTAAACGGGCCGTTAGGCAACCGTAAATAATGAATATCCAATTGGGAACAAAGAAACAATAAAAGAAATATAAATGAATGGGGAATATATGATAATGGGTCCAAAATGAGAATTGTGAAAGTTAACTCCGCAACACTTCGCCACAGCGCCCGCCTATCCTCCCGTCAGCAACCTCCTCGTCTCCAGCTTTCCAACGAGCCCTTATTTGTCCCATTTGGTGCAGTAGTTCTTGAGATGTGGCCATTGACCGGTGCTGTCAAGACCACATGAGACTCTACACCATGCTGAACCATCTGAGTATGGGGTTTCCATTCTGGGAAATGCTCTGTGGGTGAAGAAGGTAGAGCATCACCAATGGGTAGAAAAATGGCTGGGTTGTATGTGTGGTTATGGAGGTCTGGAGAGGGGGTGAAATTGGCAGTAACTCGTGAAAAGTGATAGATGCTCCATGGGCTCCATGGGATTTCATGGAATTTCATGAAATTTCATGGGATTCCATGGGATTTTTTGAAATTTCATGGATTTTCATGGAGTTCCATGGATTTTCTGACAAATTACATGACTTTTACAGCCTCCCATGAGTGGTCATGGACTCCCATGGGCATTCATGGACTCTCATGGGTGCCCATGGGTGCTCATGGACACCCATGGATGCTCATGAACTCCCAAAGGCCATTTATGTAACAGCTTCTATGTGCTGTTATTTTGCTCTGTTACAAGGATTGGACACTCAATGCTGCCACAGTGATGTGCAGATGGTCAGAGCAGAGGGGGGTTTCCATTGTTCAATCAAGTGTGAAGCAAATATTGCCATAATTAATGATGAAAGTTACTGAAGATAGGCAGCACTGACATGTCTATATTCACCAATACTATATAAATTGTGCTGTGATCAAAACTGATGGAGATGTATGCATGTTTTTCCCTGGGCTCCTCACATGTATGATGCACCTGTGATCGGTTGTAAGGATTGTATTTCCCACCCTTAACCATATATGTAGCCTCATTATGGCATGTACTGATGGACTGGGAGTGTGAGGCTACACCCATGCTTAAACAAGCACACCAACATATTCAGTGGACACTCACAGTTGTGGCACAAAAATCAAAGTTCATATTTATTATTATAGAAATGGGTTTTTTCCATTTTTAGCCTCTTATGGGCTCTGTGGAGTACAGTATCCCATGCCATGTAAATAGTTAGTATCCAACAACTATCATCACACAAAACCTGACCCAACCATGTTATTGTAAACCCAGCTCTCACAACCTCTGCCACATTATCTGTAGAATCATCCCTATGCTGACCCCCTATGCTGCACGCAAAACCAATGGAAATGGACCAATTCAGCCCCACAGTTCTAACATTTATACAGACTCCTGTTGTCAAAGACTGGATTCGAAAGGGAGGTATGACTCAGTGTTCAGAGGGCTTTGGCCTCAGCAACTCAAGCCAGGAGCACTGTGCCCAGTAGGATGTTGGGGCCCTAATTTGCAGATACATGGGAAGTCTAGGTGGAGGGCCCATAAATGGCAGGAACCAGGTGGAGCTGACATAACAGGGTCAAGGGTTAGTCAACTGAATATTACTGGCAACTTGGGTTACAGGTTTAACAGACAACAACCCAAAAGGAGAATGGAGAGGGTGGTCCAAAGGCAGACTTGCAGGGCAGGCAACTAAATGGCCCAACAGAGTCAGGGGTGTGCTTGTGGACATTGGAGCTGTCTGGAGGCCTTTGGGGTTCTGTACTTAGGGAGGTGTAAGTAATATATGGAAATGGGGGGGTGGTGACCATTGGGGGGCTCTGAGGTTGGTATGAGTGGAGCAGAGGTAATCAGGGATGGCTGGAGGTGACAGAAGGTGGTGGTGGAGGATGGATATGACACCTGTGAAGACATATGTATAAAGGCATTTGGTTGGGTCCCCATGGGTCTCTGAGTCCTGCAATTTCATTCACTTGCTATAGTATTGTCAGGGCACCTCACCTGAACATACAACCCTGAAACCCCTCCCCCCAGTCCTCCCCATTTTTCCCTATTTTTCCAAGTGTATTTACAACCAGGAGCCCACATACAGACCCATGTGACACCCTTTCCAAGCTGTGGGAATGCACCTGGCTTCTGCCTGCAGTCACACTATAAACTGGCACAGTCCACTTCCTTTTATAGTAGCTTAGCAGGGATAAGGAAACTCACCCTTCTTCTTAACTCACTCCCCACTTAGCCCCCTCAGTGAGTTTGAGGAACTACAGGCAGGATCTAGTGCCCCACTGCCCAGAACACTGCACACACCCAACTCCGAGGTCAGGCTGCCCCTGAATGAGGGCTGAGTCCTGACAAGTATGTTGTTGTTCATGCACTGTCATGGACTTCTGTGGACCTCCATAAACATCCATGAACATTCATGGACATTCATGGACCCTTCTAATAATGCTCCCATGGGTATTCATGGGTATCCATGGGCATTCATGGCACCCATGGAATTTCATGGAAATTGGAAGATAATGTTGTACATGGGCTTTCATGGGCTTCCATGGGCTTCCATGGGTGTTCATGGCCCCCCATGAAAATCCATGGAAGCCCATGAAAGCCCATGAAAGCCCATGGATATCCATGGAGCCCATGGGAGATATTACACTTTTCAGATGTTACTCGAAATTGGCAGCATGGTTGGGCATGGGAATTTTGCTTGGGGTTGTCGGGAATGATGGGGAAAATATGGAAAAATAAGGAGTGAGTGTATGGAGTGTTGGATAGTGATAGAATGAGCATTGGGAGCATCAGCAGATATGTAGTGCATGTTGGTGGGCAAATTCTGCAGAATCTGAGTTTTTTACTGTGCATGGACTTGTCCCCACAA